GCTTGCAGATACTGCATTAGAGAAGCCCCTACAAACTTGTAAGCGGCTGCACGAAGATAATCTGAGTCCCAACGTACATGGCCCCCTCTCGATATCCAAAACTGATCGACCCCCATCAAACCAATCCCGGCCTGTAGCAGGGCCAATAGCAAACTCGGAATCTTTGACAGCTTTGCCATCCTTGATGTAGTGGTTATCTGGTGGTGGATGCACGTCTCCCGCGTAGTACAAGCTGCCGTAATGCGAGAATGAAACGCCCAGCCATTGCTTCTGGAGACGTGTCATGGCAAGAAGCACTTGGAGCTTCTGGGGTAATTTCATCATGTTCCAGACTTGAGACAGCGGAACACCTTCAATTTTATCCATAATGATAAATTCAGCCCCAACAGGGTGTGACTTTGCTTGCGAGTTCCAAGAGTAGACACGAGGTGCTGGTGTGTCCAGAATTTTTCTGGCCTCCCAAGACAGATGCGTTAACAAAACTCAGTAATGGTGGAGTTGAGGATGAACTTACAAAGTCCATCGTGGCAACTTCACTAGCTGTAGTAAAGTGTGGAATGCCAGCATTCGGGTTGGGCACCTTAGCTACGACTTCTCGGCCATTTTCCATAGACATGAGGAATGTTTTGTTGAACATGCCGTCGGGGTACTTCTTGATGGAAATGCACTTAGTGGCGCCGACCGAGTCTGCAGCGACACATGCGAGCTTGTTCAAGTCGAACCTGATCTCTCGCTTTCGAAGATTCTCCGCTTCGTCAATAACAAAGCGGCCACGCGTGAATTTGAAGAATTCTTCATTAGAATTCCAGTCTGATACGGATTAGCGATACGTTGAGTCAAGCTCAGATGGACATGCTCACCTGCCTGGGAGTCCATGCTGGCGGGACAGTAGGATAGCGTTTGAGCCTTCGAAATTGAGCGGCTATGTTGCTTCAAACTTGGAATTATACTTCGAATGGAGCACCATGGACGGGCGAATGGGGGTCGCCACATATTTCATGAAATGCAATGGCTCTGAGGACAGTCCAGGAAAGCGCGTAGAAAGGCGCAACAATGAGATTGGTTCAGGTAAAACTTGCACGCAACACGTGACCCGCAGGGACGCAGTCTTGCGTACCACTTCGAACTATCACTATGCTATCGGAACAGCCTCAAATCTCTCAAAAATCTGCTGGGAAAGAGGGTATAATCCTACTTTATAAGTTAGCTCCTCACGACGATGGAATTATTCGATCCACCAAGCAGCGGGTGGATATTCTATCCCTACACAACCCTTCGACAATCGAGTACGCCTTCGCTTTTTTCACCCTGGACAAGAATCATAAATATTGACCCGGAACGAAAAGGAGCCACTTCTACAGCTATGGATTCGTGGGGACATGCGCCTAGGCCATGATGGCCCGAGAAATGACTACCTTGTTTAAGGGAATCTACACTTCATTGGTGTAATTATCGATGTCAACAATGATGGATGGACTACAGATAATATTGGATTATCTTGGCTTCAAAATCCCTTTCTCCGCTTGGGTACTCGTCGTATAAAAGGAAAACATCGAAGTCTTGTCCTCGATAGCCATGGTAGCCACTATGCGCCCATAAATCCAGATCGTGTGGACCTGCAGCAATATCTCCGCCCCTGGGTCGAATTCGACTACCTGAGATTTATAACCTCACCACGCCTATTCTTTTAAGTTTTTCAGCATTTCTTCCTCAAAGTCCCGCATCGCCTGCTGTTCTTCCTCCTCGGTCCTATCTGCTTTCATCTCCACATCTGCATTCGAGTAAACCTTGTGGGGATCTTGGGCTGCCTTTTTCTTGAGCGTGGAGTCTTCCGCATTCAAATTGAGCTGGAACTTGTACCGTCGAAATTCCTTGCCACCTTTCTTGATAATTTCTCCAAGATCGATGCGGCTTCCGATTTTTGCATCGTGATTTCCCCCACGCGCCGGGGCGCCTCGGTGACCCGCTTCACCTACCCCACGCAAAATCATAGTGCGGCGACTTTTCGACTGCTTGATATAGGCCATGAGGGTTCCAAGCGACTTCTGGGTTTTGGAAGGCATGGTAGCGCAATGAAGGCTTGTGTTGGGCGTGTTTCGATATAGATGTTGCACAGGAATGCTTGTCAATATCACGACAGCAGCGGTAATGAGAAACTCGCTTGGAGCTGATGGATTGCTGTAGAGAATGAAGTCTGTCTTGTCATTCTTAGGAGGATTTTGGCGTCTTATGTATCTGCACAAGACATGGGGAGCCTCGTTGGGCAGGAAGACCTGGTTTCATGCTGCAGCCAACTCGTCAGAGGCGGCTTCAGATTGCCAATCTATTTGACAGTAGCCTGACAACCACGGTCTGGGCCCGCACTCAAGCGGAACTGCGGCGAAGCCAACTCAGCTGTCTGATTTCCTTCCACTATCCCTGCCACGCAGATTTTAATCTCCTAAGAGGTGCGGTTCAATCGACGCCTCCGAACTTGGAATTCTGACCTAGTAAGGGGCAGTACCTATGAGCGGGCCAATGGCATGGAGGTCTGTGTGGTTTTGCTCATACACAACTCCACATCCGCGATGTTATGCCAGAAGTGGTACATTCGTTACGTCCAGTTCATATTTTCAGACCTCAGGCGTTCTGAACCGCCTGCAGAATACTTCACAAATAATAAGGAGCGATATGCCTTTGTTGCTAATGTGCATGGGGGACTAGGGGGAGTGATGAGCGAATCAGAACTTGCCATGTGGCCTGAATTCAGCCTCGCGTGAACCCAATGGCCCAATGATGCCGTCAATGAAGACTGAGAAAGGTCAGCCCTTGATGCGGTGTTGGTGGAAGGAGAAAAAAGTACTTTTCTTTTCCAGCAATTAATTGGTGGATAGGATAATGTGTCCTCCTCATTGCCCGTCTATCCTTGTGGCTCCTTCTATGGGTCAAGTTTCAACGGTGGTTACTATTTTCATACAGGCGGCAAAACCTTGTCCATGCGTGACAGAATGGATTGAGGTTACAAGGACGAGAAGCACCCGTCGTACTGGCGCTTGTCTATATTAGATTTCTCTTTCTAATTGGTACCCAGATACGAAGATTCAGAGCTGGAGAATAGAAGAAAATAATATCCACGTGTGGTGATGCTCTCTTGACCTTCTGTAACCCGACTTCACCATCGTTTTCATTAACACATTTTATTTATTGTGAAGTTCAGAATCATTTCTATTGTTATTGCTTAAGTTACTGCTTTAAGTGTTCTATCCAGGCTCCTAGAAACTAGTTACCTACAATATGGTGGCAAACGGCACCCTTCTTCGAGGCGAAGGAAAAGCAGCAATGATGTTGTGTGCATGGGTTTGTAGTTACATACATTTCTAAGGTCGGATAGATCAGGTCCTCCCAGCCTGGAAAGCCTCTTTATCTGCTTTGAACAAGCGGGCGCGCAATCGTGGAGAAAGGCAGGAGCAAACCGAAAAGGTTCACGGCGCTTCTGCAGCTCAGCGTGAAATCGTCGAGTGATAGGTCTATGATGGTTCTGAGGCGGTCTCAGGCGACTGTTTCTTCGATCCAACTCCTTTAATGCGTCTTTGGTTAACCAAATATTTGACAGCTTATCCCAATAAGCTGATGCTGACTTGTCGAGCTTCTGCCTTTTCCAATATCGCGACGTGTTGTTTGGAGGTGCCTCAGGATACTGGCGTTTGCGAGACGGGTTTGAGGTCACTGAACAAGGCATATGGTGGTCATCATAAACTTTTAGCTCCTTTATCGTGCCAGTATGCATCGAGGGCAGAAACATGCAGGTCTTATAATTAAGTGCTGTCCAGGAATAGCATTTATTTCGGGCGCGTAGTTTGTCGTTCTTGAAACAAGGGTGGTATTAGTCTCAGGCTTGGCAGGCTTCGTAGTGGCTAGCGAATAAGAGGAAATAAGCTATGAGCAAACCCCACCCTAAGTCAGTGGCCGAATCCATGATTTTGTGTTTTAAGATCCAGTAAACTAAGCCAGAAGTCATATTCTAAGGTTGCAAAACCAGGGAAGTCACTGCCATTTTTGTCTAACAAGAATATTTACGGAACCCCACAAATCTTCCAAGCACATGTAGCTCCAGCCAGTTCTTGGACCCAAAGTACAAATAGCGTCACGTCGTCCCGTTTTGTCCCATCTTGTCCCAGTTCTGTCTCATTTTGCTTCATTTCCTGCTTGACTCTACGAGATGCTATCAGCGGATGACTTGCTCAGAAGAAAGGTGCCCTGGAGGCCAACCCATTTCTGGATGTCGGCGACCAGAATGGGCTGGAAGCGTGTTATTGTCTTTTGCATAACATTGACAGACCTGCAACCAGGCAACCACGGCAGACCTTAAGCAGGCATAGCAAAGCACAGCAATCTCTACGGAACGTCCACTCAATAGCGAAAACATTATTTGTTGTAGTAGCGGTTACAATATCCATCACGGACCTAGCATCGATAGAACACAGCGAGCTCTTTCCGCGGCTTGAACACTGGTGGAGGAGCAATCCTCCCTCAGAGGAATTCGATTCCAAAGCGCGCAGTCTTCTTCAAGAGCTGAATGTCGAAAGGGAAAGGGGGAACATACCTCGCGTTCGAGGTAACTGGAACATTCCTACCTCGCGCCTGCAAACATGGATGCTAAATCATTCTTAGGAAGACGGACACGGACTCGAGGAAGAGCCAGGAAGGTCCAAAACTCGAAAAGGCAGACAGAGCACCAAACGGTCAGAAGCCCGGGTTTAACTGAGCCGGAAAATCTACTCAGTCACCCCTCAGAAGTACCAACACTTTCAAGCCTGAGTTAGTCTACATTAATCAATTAACCCGTTTTGCATCTATACTAACAAACCCTAGGTGCAGTTGATGTTAGCAACCCTATTCCGACTTCTGGTTGGTCTCTATTCCTATATAATACATGAAAAAAAGAAAAATAAATGCTAACAGATGCTATGTAGATGCAACCCAAAGCTATGGAGTAGATGAAGAGACAATACCGTTCCAGTCCTCTCAACTCGTCAATTTTCTCCATGCTTATCGAGATAATTACCCGCAACTGCAACCGCTCTGCGAACTGCTACAGCTTAGCGAACCTAACCTGCAGCTTCCATATTCCCTGTTCAATCTGGCTTCTCCATACATCCATGTCAAACTGGTATTGCCCCAGGGTCTCGGAGTCAACCTTGAGGTATCGAGGGAATTTAGCTATTCGTTTGTTCAATATCTCTGGATGCTTCAAGGATTAGGAGTCTCGGGGAACGAATCGTCGAATTAGTACATCCCGAAACACCAGGCCCGTTCGACCGTCGTTCAAGATGAGGATTCTTAGCTCATCTTCTGCCTTGGGCCCTGTGGGAAGAATATCAATTCTGCCAGCGGCTGCGCGCGAGTGGATGACGCCGTCTCCCTCTCTTTCGTGTATAAGAACCGCAGGAGCGACCCGGGCATCTAAGTATTTGCCCGCAAAATGTTCTTTTTCGAGAACAACCTCAGTTCCGCCCTAGGAAGGTGTGAGCAACATTACTATACGCATGTCTTCATATCCTACCAGCAATGACTTCACTTCCTCCTCCAGCCCTTTGTCATCCTGTGCAGTTGCTTTCGAAAAACTTCGTTCACTGTACTCATGACCCCGGCAGATATTGATGAAAGAGGACGTTCCGTAGTTTCCAGGCGAAGGTAGCGGAGATTGTCACTTTCGATAGTTGTATGTGCGCAAAGGAATGTCTTTAAATGAGCCACTTGTTAACATCCATTTTTCAGTATTGATGTAAGGCCAAACATACGTTATATATAAGTGACATGACAATGAAGTTTTTCTGAACTGAATCGAAATTTGTGGGGAGGGGCAGCAACCGTAGTAAGCGGGGTCGATATCATGAGCATTTTTAATCATGTGATTTTGGCAGGTTGGGAGTTTTGCTGGGCATTACTCGATGACACCTCCAGGAGCCTTTTCGTCAGACCCATCCGCCAACGCCTGCTCTTCATCCCTAACCTGCATTCTACGGCCCATGGCCTCACCACCTTGCTTGGCGGACAGTGGTAGCTTACGCACCTGAAACGCGCGGTGGCTATTTCCTACCTGCATCCCGGCGACACTTGGACTTAACTGTGTCCAAGAAAGGTCAGTGAAAATCGACCTTTGACCCTTTGTGTTGCATCAACTCGGTAAACTGACTCTGGCCAATGACATCCCCTATCAAATGTTCCTCGTAAAGTCTCATTATGTCCCACAAAATTTTGACATATACCATTTATTACCATCAAATACCATTTAATGCCATTTGGTCCCACAAAGCACCATTATGTCCCGTTACATCCCACAAAGTGTCGATACATACCATTAGTTGCCATTAATTAGCATCGGGTGCCCTTAATCTCATAAAGTACTATTCTGTCCCATTACATCCCACAAAATTCTGACCTATACCATTTATTACCATCAAAGAACATTTAATGCCGCTTGGTCCCATTCTGTCCCATTACGTCCCACAAAATTTTGATACATACCATTAGTTCCCACCAATTAACATTTGGTGCCACTTAGTCCCATTATGTTCTATTATGGCTTCCCAGTCACGAGCTGCAGGACGAACTATACAACACACAAAACGTTACTGGGTGCAAGAACGACCAAAATGCACGTCAAGGACATCGAGCTTTACAGCAGCATCCCTGCTACGCGATGACGGCGGCGGGAGTGATGTATATGAACCTGGTTCTTGCGTCCAGAGCAGAGCTTAGTTTCTCCTGCAGCGCAGAGCACAAGACGACAAGGTCGAGACCATGTATCCTGCGGCACAATCTCATGCATCCATAAAATGGGAAAAGGACGGCCATCTTATCCCGTATCGGCGTGGTCCAAGCGGAAGCGGAAGCGGAAGACGACGAAGGAATATGTGCCGTGAGTATTTACTGAATGGCATATAAGGGAGCACAATTCCCCTCGAAATCCTGAGGCAATCAAGAAAAAACCTATTTCGGCGAGCCATTTACCGTTGTCGCTATATCACAATGCCCAAACCCACAAAGTCTAACGGCACCAAAGCTCCTCCCCCTTCACCCCTTCGGGCCCAAACACCTCCAGACAGCCCTAACCATGAAAACCCTCCGCAGTCTGTTACAATGGAACAGCTGCAGCAGCTTTTCATGGAAGTTCTTCGGCAAGCCAAGCAGTCATCAGATTCTTCGGAGCCAATTGAAGATACCAGACTAGAGAAAAGCAAGAATAAAGAAGGCAACGAGGTGAAAGCTCGAGCGTCAAAGCTCGAATATAAGGAAGTCCACGAAGTGTACGTCCCATCGTTTGGTACTCTAATCCCATTCATGCTCACTGCCAGCTAGGTGGGACAAGGACAATTCGAAGTATAAGATTGTGGAATCTGTGGGAGAGGACAAGGTTCTTGATGATCTTGACCAGTATGTATTTGTTGTCCGGAAGCAGCTAGGTAGGAACATGATCCCAACGTCTCTCACACTTGATAACTGACAGCATATCAGACAGGATGACCAAGGAAACTATGATTTTTGTCGATATTAAGTCCGAGGTGTTGCTTGGAGTGCTGCGAGACATTGTGAGAGATGTTAGGGCTATCAGCTTGCGCGAGGATAAGCCTTCGGTATTGCTTCAACCTCGTACTCTATCTCATTGAACTAGTCATTAACCCAGGATCAGATCGAGCGGAACTTCCTATACAACTTCCTTGCCGACCTCGAGACGTACATTACCAAGAAAGGAAGGGATCATGAAGACCCACGTTCGAAGCATGTGGACCTGCTCATCAGGTATATCAAGGATACCTATGCCTCCACAACCCAGAGCCTTTCACCGCTTCTCAAAAGGGGAGAGATCACCTACGATTTGCTTTGGACCATTTTCAAGCCAGGGATCTTTGTATACAGTACCTGTCTGGGCACTGGCAAGCCTCGATGTGTTACATTTGATGCTGGAGAAGAGAAAACGAAAATGAATGGGATCAAATACTTCAGCTTAGATTGTCGCTATCTAGACTTTGATGGTGAGGTATTCGGTGACGCTGGTACCCAGCTGGAGGTGGTCCGGTTCCATGGACCCAGACTCATCCACACCCTCGAGGCGTTCCCCCTTGATCATCACCCAAACAAATCAGATGCCATGAAGTCGCTCATCGACTGCGGCCGGAATTTTTGCGACCTAAAGGGGCAGCACATTCGCCACTGCCGTGGTCGTGCCTTCTTCACAGTCCGGGGAGAAATGGTCCAGATCTCCATCAACAGCCGTGTCATGGTGGACCCAACCTTCTTTCGCCAGATGAATCCGAACTACACTAGACCGCGGATCAATCAGCGGAGTGAATCCTACGTGGATAGGGACGGCGCCACCCATCTTGATTTTTCGGCGCTTTTTGATAATCAGGATCAACGCGAGAGAGAACAGGTGAAATGCAATGGTGTCAATCCATCCAAAATGAAGGATGTTGACTTTCTCATTTGCTGTCCCACGGTTCTCGGGTTCTCTCTCAATGAAAATCTCTGGAGTAAGTGAAACTGGCTTCCGACTGGTGTACTCGCTAACATTTACGATGTAGTGGAGTTTGCTGTTGCCGATCTCCGTCGAGTCGAATGGTCATCCACACCCTTTGAAAACCTCAAGATTCCTGACCAGCAAAAGGGTACCATCTTAGCTCTCGCAAAGACTCGTTTAGGCTTGGTACCTAGCATCCCCTTTGACAATTTCGTTCCTGGCAAAGGGCGTGGCCTCAATGTGCTCCTGTAGTAAGTGGCTGCATCCTCGCTTAGTGAATGAGACACCCTGACTTTCAATATCAGTGGCCGCCCGGGTCTCGGAAAGACTTTCACAGCCGAGGCTTTAGCAGAGCACTTGCAGCGTCCTCTTTACAGAGTATGTCCCTAATCCGCCAGGTCGCCAGTCAAAGATTAATGTTACCTTTTTAGGTAGCTGCAAGTGAATTAATCGGGGATAAATGCCTGGAGGATCATGTTTCCGACATATTCAAGACCGCCAGCCATTTCAACGCTATACTCCTGGTGGACGAAGCCGATGTCTTTTTGCATGGACGCTCGGTCGGCGGAGTCCATGATCATTCCGTGACGGTCTTCCTCCGCAAACTTGAATATTTTGAGGGGGCTTTGTTTCTCACTACAAACCGCGTTGATGAGTTTGACGATGCTATCCTCAGCAGGATCCATTATAAGCTGAAGTATGAGGATTTGAGCCGGGAATTCCGGAGAGAGGTTTGGCGGAGTTTTCTTTCAAAGTCTCGCACACATAAGGGAAGCGCACAGGTGTCCGATGATGAGCTGCATAAACTGGAGGGTCTGGATCTCAGTGCCCGAGATGTAGGTTGCAGCGCGCCCACATTCGATATCTCATATCTAACCCTGTATTCATTTTCAGATCAAAAACCTGGCTATGATCGCCCATGCACTCGCCACTGTCGATGAAGATCGTGTGTCTTACGGCCATCTGGAGCGTGCTGCGGCATCGAACGAGGAATTCATCCGCGCATTCAATCGTACGGAGCGTCTCGAGACCATGTACAATTAGAACGTCGTGGTGGGTTATGCGAGAGCACCCACCGGCCGACAGGTGAGTTCGAAAGCACATGTGGAATCGGCTCTTTCGAGTCCTCACATTCGATCCGACCTGGTCGCCATTGGGTATGTTCCTCGCTAAAACGGACTGGGTTGTGATGATAGTTGTCTGGCCTGGTGAGGCGAGTCTCCGACCCAGAGTTAGTCTTAGTAGGATGTATAATGAAGTGTCGTAATTTCAAGCTGGTTTAATATTAGTTGGCCAATTTATCCCGTAGACCTATCCATGAATCCCATGTTCGTATGATCCCTTAAGGCTGGCCATTGGTAGAAAGAGGAATCTCCGCCATATGTAGTTATGCCCAAGCGATCGCAGATCAAGCCAGAATGAGATTTTCACAAGGCTCCGCGCCCCCAGAATCCGTCGTAGATGACATGGGATTCAACCAGAATAGTATAAATTTCCAGTCCCACCCTCCAACCCCGTAAAACCTAATTTTTCACTCCAACTTCAGAATATGCGACTTTCGTCCCTCCATATCTGACTGCAAAAAAGAGCGACCCCACACAAATTTTCCGTACATGGTAAGGTTTCTCCAACGTACTTAAAGCTCCAGCTCATAACCAGGTGAGATAGGGAAGGGGATTCATCCGAAATTATGGACAAAATGCCGGTCGAATTGATGTAACAAGTTGCTGGGAAGATGGACAAGAAGAGTCTCATCAATTTTGTGAAAGTCTGCTGAAGGACCCGCGTCGTTGTCGAACCATATCTATACAAGACAATCAGCTTCACCTGCTCGGCGACTGCCCATCGTGAGGTATTGACACTGTTGGGATCCATTCGCGAACGGCCCGTATGGTTTCACGCACCGAAACACTCAACATAGCCGAGCCGAAGAGAGACACAAGTGATGTGATGGAGCTTGTTCAAATTGCTGAATTGGACGCACGACCAACTGCAAATCATATCATCTCGTATCTGCTATCTAAATTGCCCAATCTCCGCTCCTTTCACCTTCACTCTCCCAGGAGCGATTCAGGTTCCGCTATAGGCCGTGTGGACAAAGAACCTCTTGACTTTTCTTCTCTAAGAAAGATCGCAACGCTTCAGTTGCCGGCACATTGTCTGCTCACATGCTTATCTTCAACACCAGTTTTGCCTTCGACACTGGAACGCCTCTGATGTTTCCCTTTTCGATTGGAGTGCAATGTTCATTTTCGATTTCAGTGGTATCAACGAAGATGCATTGAACCCTACGCTGGCACGAGGAATTTGGTTCTCTGAATCCAATAGCAATCCCAGTCATGGTCAGACATTTCGTGTTGCTCTTTTAGGTTTTCTTATTCGAGCTTTAAAACGGCATAATATAATTTCCTACATTATTTCTTTTCCTTTCTTTCTTCGAGGGACAAAAATACGCGAGCAAGAAGAAGAGTCTCAGAGAAAATGGGAGTGGAGTGAAATCCCTGCGCTACTCTGTTTTCCTGTTATTCGTGTTGAGACTTGGATTCGGTTCAGAGTTATTTTTCGTCCAGACCACACTGTGGCTCGAAGGAGGTAGGTTTAGAACAACTATTATTCCGGCCGACACGTGACTCATGTATTTGGAAAAAGCAAAAAAATGCATAGAGCAAATTCGAATTGTTTGTTGATACTATTGATTGCTACCATGGATATATACAGCTCAATAATGGTACGTTAGCTTCCACCGCCGATCTTTAGACGCTTGTCGGACGTGCATAGTTGTAGCAGTCTACCACCTACGGTGGTGGCCCCTGGACATCCAGATCTTCTGTCAGGGACCTCCGGCTGATACCCGTCGCTGTAGACGCTGTTGGTATTCTTGCTCAACGGCATCCATGTTTTCTAGGCTTCGACTTCCGCCTCGACGGGGCGCGGTCCTTCAGCTTGGTGGAGTACCGCACCTGCAGAGTCGCCTTAGATCTGCCCGGGAAGCGCTTGGCGATCTCATCCCATGGCTTGCCCTCCTCCTTGAGTTCCTTCAGCAGCGCGTCGTCCTCTGAGGCAAACGGCACACGCATACCGGTTGCGACGGGCTGCTGCTTTTTGCGACTGGGACGCGACAGACCGTTTGCCTTCACTGATAAGGGCCGACCAGCGTCCTGGTGATAGAATGTTATAGTATAGCACACTTTGGACCCGCTCAGGTGGCTCGAAAGAAACCCGGAAACTGGTATGTCATCGCCCGAGTGTTTCGTCACCGTATCATCTTGTGGGACACCGGGCACACGGGAGGAATCACTGGCCGGATTTTTATAGTACTTCTTCGCCGGACTCCGTGACTTCTTATCGTTTGGTAAAGCAGTCAGGGAAGGATCGTCTGCGCATGCTGTGGAAGAGACAGTGGACACGGAGGACCGCGCCGAGAGTTTCCGCCGCTTCCGCGACCGCCTAGTGACAACATGGTCATCATCATCGTCGTCTTCGCTGCAGTCGCTGGAGTTATTGTTGTCACTGTCGTCGCTGGGATCGGTCCTATCGCCTCGCCTCTCTGTCTCCTGGAGAGCGTCTGGTGTGGAAGGAATCTCGACTCGAACACCCATGTGCCGCACGCCTCGCCGCCTCATCGGTCGGTGCTCTCCCCCATCGCACTTTCCAGGATTGCCGGGAGTCCCAGGGTCCGATTCGGCATCTGTGCTGGAAGATGTGCTATCCGCGATCCCTCGGTCTGTGGCACTGGTGCGCACAGCAGGACCAATAATCTTGGATTTGATACTGTTCGGAGAATCCTTTTCACCGCTCTTCAAGTCAATAAGGATTGGATGTTCTGTTGAAGGCTGTCAGAAGCAGAGCTCCAGAGACAAGTGGTGAAAGGATGCGAAACTCAATTACCTTGGCTGCCTTCTGGGACTGGTAGCTTTGCTGAACTGTACGGAAGTTGGTCGGGGGAATCCACCAAGCCAGGCGGTTGGCACGAGGCTTTCGCTTCGGACTCGTCCAGCATGGTATTGCTATCAGGGAGGGGAGAGACAATTTCCTGAGATGACGATCGGCCGGCCTTCTGGGGGGTTTTCCCGCTTGAGGCGTCCCTGCAGGGCTTGGGGCCTGGAGCAGTTGAGCTTGGAGAAAAAGTTGCAGCTTCAATCTGCCGATTGCCCATAAGATCCTCCCTCGCGAAGGGGCGCCTACCTTGGAACCCGCTGGTACGTGGGCTAGAAGGCTCAACGGCTCCCTGGTCGGTGGAATTGGGACTGCTCATGTCGACCACCTCCACGACCTCCCAGCGCTCCAATTCAGCGTCGAACTCGTTCAGTAGAGCGCTCGAATCTCGACCCCCGATCTGGCTGTCGGGGCCCTTGCGGGCATCTCTACAGAAGGGAAGAGGAGGGCAGGGAGGAGGGAAGGGTAGAGAGTGTGTAAGCGGTGGTTCAGGGATAAATTGTGCAGACGGCAAAGGGACTGGCTGGGGAAGACGGTGTTCAGGGGTGTGGTGCTTGGTGGGATGGGGCATGGGAGGCTTGGGCGGAAGCGGAGAGTACGGGATGAAGTTCATATTCACAGCCATGCTTGTAGGAAGGGAAATTGTAATTGGCGAGGGTTAAGTTCCAGTGTCTGTTCTGTTCGTACTCCCACGCCCAAAATCGACCGGGAGAGCAGGTTCCTTAAATAGACGTGATGTACACTATCCTCCTTGTTGAAGGCTAAAAATCCAGTTCCAGCTGTCCCAGCGATGAGCGGCAAATCACACAGCACCGCACCGCACCACACCACACTTGAATGGCAGGGATAAAATCCGTGACGCCGAAACCAGCAGCGCTCCTGTTCGTTCGCTTGAGCAATTTCCCATGTTCAGCTGACGTGGAACCACCCTTCCCCTTGAATAAAAGTAAAGAAGCTCGTCAATGATTCACGCGAAGTGATTCTGTGCTAAACTTCCGTCGCAGCCATGTCAGCTGGGAAAAACGATGTGAGTCACCACGAGCCAACCCTGCAATACCATCAATACCGTCGTTACCCCACAGCAAGGTAGACCACGAAATACACGAGGCGGACAATTCGCATGCATGATTCCGGTTTCATTTCCGGAGTTTCTCATGCAGCTGAAATGCACAGCAATCTCAAATTCGCCTACGGAGAAACCGCCATATGGAGAGCAGTCCAAATAAGATCCGGTTTTCATCCCTGTATTTTTCATGCATCATTTGTCGTTGCAGGGACTTTGAGCGGCTGAAAGGGGCAGGAATTTCGAATCCGACTAACAGCCCAAGGCCCCCCCCCCCCCCCGTTGCAAAAATTACCCCCTCCTCTCCTGTGGGATCGCCAGGGTTTTCGCCTCCGATGCGGGCCAAGAGAGCATCGCACCACCCTCGCCCGGTCTCGAACGAGCGAAACCAGGTGATCCAGTTGCACGAACCTTGGAAGAAATGGACGAATGGGGCCGCAGCTCTCTGTTCCCAGTGAAGATAGCTGCGACCAAGGCGATCCTTCCCGTGGAAAGTCCCTTATCGTCTCTCTCCCATTCGCCGCGTTGGTGAGATCCAGAACGGCAGGAGTTGCCACATGCGGAAAAACGACCGGGGTGCGTACACACTATGTGCCACGTATGCAGACGGGACGGATGGTCGTTGCCCGTGGTCCGTAGAGTGAGGTATTTTCGCCATTGGCTGCGAGTCCAGGCGAGAAGGATCGAACCCACAATGATTCCAATGCAGGCGGAGGGAGTATCCGGCAAGTAATTTCGGGCAGATATCCCTGTCACGAGGCATTTTCTCAGGGAGATAACACGTCGCAAAAGTAGGGTTTCGAGGGCATCGCTCTCGAACAGGTAATCCCAGACACGGAGGCGCAGCCCACCTGATGCCCAGCGAACCGGTGAATGATGGAAAGAGAAGCCAGTGCAGCATCGTACGGTGAGGGAGTGAGGGAGATCGAAAGACCTCGCCGGCCGTCATCGCCCGCTAGGCCTTCAGTCAAAAAGAATCACCAACGGCACAGCACGGCACAGCACGGAACAGCCTGCTGCTGGCTGGGATGATCACTGATGGCAGGGCCGGCGTCGCCAGGTGCAGCGAGCCAATGGGCACCGGGTGGAAATGATGAAAGGCGAAAGGTGGCGCCATTGATACAGGGAGGGAGGGGAGAAACAGGCTAGCGAACAAGGCTAGAGAAAGAGGAGAGACAAGAGGGGAACCGAGGAGGAAAATGAAGAGGGAGGACGTGGAAGAAAGAGGGGAGTCGGACGAGGTTTATATAGTGTGGACGACGGCGACGTCACGACCACGGGAGCAGCGAGAGGGTAGGTTAAACCCGAAAGGGAAGACGCCAAACCCGAACGGGCGATGCTAGGCCGAAGCGGGAGGGCGCCAGACCGCAACGGGGCAAGGGCGGCCAGGGGGCGCAGAAGCGGCCGGCGCGACGCAGACCGATTAAATACTTTTTATATAATTTTTGTTAAAAAAGTGATAATTTTTCTTCAATCTGTCTTCTTCTCAAGAATGATTTTGATTGAAGATTTATATTTATTTGATGAAATGATTGTTATACAATTTACAATTTCTATTTTCTTACAATTCTGCTTCATAACATACTTTTTAACTATTCTTTTTACAATATATTGAATATGATACAGTGTTTTTGCAAGAAGTTTGAAACTATTGAGACTTCTAATCAATATCCACTAATTCAAAAATAGTTTAACTCATAGTAATTAGTAGTAATTATAGTGTCATATGATATTTGAATGCATTCATTTACCTCTATTTTCATCTCTATACTGCTATATGTAGAATTCTTCCCTATTTTTTCTATTTTCTTTCTCACACATTTTCTTCAAAATAATGAATCTTCATATCCTCTACATACTATTTCCTCATACTACTGTCATCTTATTAATTATATTTCTCCACCACTATCATCCATTATGAGCTGAGGTAGAGAATTAAGCCCTCAGATATGTTCTCACATATGTGACACCACACGACAACTACCCACGAACGTAGGGGTACATTTGAATTTTCCACTTTTCCAACTGTTTTTCGTATAATTTTAACCCTCCAACCAGTTCAATATCATCGCACGCCCTCTGCGATCTCTCTACGTGTGTGTACTGCACAGGTTGAGTGGTCATGGAGCCCTCAACGCCCTCCCGTCCGCCCAAGGACATCGAAACGGCCTACACCAGGCCACTGGAGCCGGAGTCACCGGCCAATTTTGTCGCTGGAAAGGCTGGCAAGAGGCAGAGGAAGACTGTCACAATGCCTCCCCCAGTCCTCAAAGGAGCCAGCGACAGCATCCCCACGGCCACCTCTCGGCTGCAGAAGCAGTTTGAGGAGGCTCAGCAGCAACAGAACCTGCAGCAGAAGGCCCTCATCAGATTGGCGAAGACTCTGGACAGCTGGGTTGAGGAGGAGAAGCAGTCAGTCAGTCAGAACTTTGCCCGAATCTTCTGTGAGAGGTTTGTCAAGTATGTGACAGCAGATCTGAGTGCAGCATCAATTCTGAGAGGGGGTGCTGCCCCGGATACTCATCCGCAGCCAAATGCAGCAAAGACAGCTGCGAGGGAGCCGACTACCTGGGCGGGTGTTGCTCAGAGGGGGAAAAACTCTGCCCTCCCTGGGGTTGCCCCTGCCAAGACTGCGGCTTCCTCGGCAGGCAGGGCTAGTGGAGCTAGCCTGCAGCCCAAAAGCGCCAGTCAGCCAGGGGGCCCCACAGGGGGCACAAAACCGCAGGAGGACCCACGAGTCCTCGTCACCCTCCAGCCAGAGAAACGGGTCGCCCGGCTACAGCCATATGCTGTGCGGCAGGCAATCGTTGCAAACATTCAGGGGGTGGGGGATGTGGCCAATGTGCCGAAGGTGGAGCCCACCAGGACAGGTTGGGCGATCACACCAAGCGACAGAGGCATACGCGACGCTCTGACCACTGAGAAGGCAGTGGCTACTCTCTGTGAAGTCCTTGGCGCCACGGAGATCCGACTACCAGAGCGGTGGTACAATTATGCTGTCCCAGGGGTCCCAGAATTTGTCCAGGACTGGGAAGGGGCAAGAATCCCCACAGACAAGATGATTGAGGGAGAGGTTCTGGCTCAGGCAAAGGTAAAGCCAGTGAGCTGTCGACCCTCGCGTCATGGGGTGAACCCCAAGACAGGGAAGATTACATGGATTGTCTCCTTCCTTGCCCCGGTAAAAGGCTTCTCACTCTTCAATGCCAGTGAGAGGGCCAGGCTGATTGAGAAACGGCCTTTGACAGTGAGACATAACCCAGGATGCCAGGGGTTCTGCCACCCACCAAAGTGTGCGCGACTGGCAAGATGCTCCAACTGCAGTGAGCCCACAAGCCAGCATGAGGGGCCAACAGGCGCGGAGTGCAAGAGAGCGCCAAGATGTGCCAACTGCTGCCAACCCTACCCAGCTGGGCATCAGCACTGCCCTGCCGCACCCAGGCGCGTGAATGGCACCCTCAGGCGCCTAACTCAAAAAGAGCTAGCAGCTGTTCGCCGCCTTGGCGACAGGTGCCACAGGGATGCTCAGGAGCGGCAACCGCCGCCAGCACAGCCAGCACCAATGGTCGCAGTGGTGGTGCCTACACCAACCGCTCAGTCAACCCAGTCAACACAGCCCGCTGGGCTAGCACCCCGCAAGCGGGCGGCGACTCAGAGTTCCATCAGTGAGGAGGGTGCCACCTGGCAGATGGCCCGCACCAGGCGACGCTCAGCTCGCACAGCAGTGCGGCAGCACAGCCAAGCAGCTAAAGAACAGTCTGACTCCAGCATGCAGATGGCAGGTCTGGAGGTCTTCAACCTCATCCCGCAGGTGGACTTCGGCAGCAGCTCACCAAGTGACTCCTCATGCTAGGACACCAACACCAGCGACGCGGCTGGCGCCGCAGGAACAACCAGCAGGAAAATCGCCCCCTGCAGGTCTTCTGGGCAAATACGGCCAGGGCAGCCCCCTGTCACACAGCAGCTCTGCAGCTTGCTTTCGAGCAGGGCTGTGAAGTGGTCTGTATACAGGAGCCAGACACACACCCTGGCACCAAGACTTCTAACCACCCAGCGTATGAGTGCTTTGCGCCTATAGACCGCTGGGATGACACTAACCCGGAGCAGCGAGAGGAGGAGAGGCCCCGGGTCATGACATATGTACGCAAGGGCTCAAAGACAAGGGCACAGCAACACCGGTCTGTGCAAAGCAGGGATCTGCTATGGGTCAGTGTAAATGGCTGCCACATTCTCAATGTGTACAGACAGCCTGGGACAGACGCAGTCATGGACTATCTGACCAATCTGAGCCCACCAGCCCGCTGTCTGATAGGTGGGGATATCAACGTACGGCATGATGCCTTTGAACCAGGGGCAGTGAATCTGCACCGAGGCGGGGAGCTTGTCCAATGGGCCAGTGAACATGGGATGGACTTTGTGGGAGAGATAGGGGTTCCGACTCATGCAGCAGGTCATGTGATTGATCTCACCTTCTCCAATGTGGCCTTTGCTTCCACTACAGTGCGTCAAGATCTACACTGCGGCTCAGATCACCAGTCTATGATCACTATGCTGCCAACAACACCTCAAACACAGCTGAGTGATGCTCGGATCAAGATCACAGACTCTCAGCTGGAGCCCTTTGCAGATCTTGTCAGAGGTCTCATGGTGGACATGCCTTGCCCAGAGGGGGTTGGAAATGTGGCACAGCTTGATGATCTGGCCCAGCACTTCACTCAGAGTCTTCTGGCTGCAGCTCAGGCAGTCAGTAAGCCAGCTCAACAAGGGCGGACCACAGCCCCCTGGTGGACAGCAGACTGCCGAAGAGCGCACCGAGAGCTCACTACTCACCAGACAGAGGCCGCGAAGCACCAGTTCAAGGATGCAGTGCGCAAGGCCAAGCGTGCATACTGGAGGCAGGTGATCAATGGCGCCAGAGATGGTAGAGACCTGTACCGGGTGGTGGCATGGCATAAGCTGGAACCCAACCTCAGAGCACCCCCTCTGGTGATTGGGGATCAGGTCATAGAAGAGACAGCCGCCAAAGCTGAGGCACTTCAACAAGCAATTCTGAAGCGATACAACTCAGCTGATGATCTGGAGTATGACCCACTGGATGATGAGCACTGGAGCGGCATGGGGAACCTGCCCTGGAACCCCTGGATTGGGATGGAGATGGAGCGCAACACCATTGGGGTACAGAGCACCTCCCCAGGCACAGATGGAATCACAGTGAGGATGCTCAAAGCATGCTGGCAGCATGTGTCCCTCTTTATACAGCAGCTATACAACTGCTGCCTCCGGCTCTGCCACTTCCCACGAGCCTGGAAACTGGCAGAGGTGGCAATGATACCCAAGGTGGGTAAGAGAGATAGAAGCTCAGTCCGCTCCTGGAGGCCCATTGCCCTGCTTTCAGTAATCTCCAAAGGGCTGGAACGCATCATTGCAAGGCGACTGGCGTACACAGCACTCATTCACGGCATAGTCAGCCCACAGCATGGGGGGGCGCTGCCCAGACGATCTGCAATGGACCTGGTAGCTGCTTTCACTCATGAGGTGGAGGCAGCCTTCGCACAAAACAAGGAAGTGTCCATGGTCACAATGGATGTGCAGGGTGCCTTTGATGCTGTGCTGCGCAGGCGGCTGCTTCAGCGGATGGCGCAGCAGGGGTGGCCACGCGAGCTGCTGCAGCTCATTGACAGTTTCCTCACTGAACGCAGAGCTCAGGTCCGGCTGGAGGGGACCACCACAGCAGCACATCAGATGCAATGTGGCACGCCACAGGGGTCTCCTTTGTCACCAATACTGTTCCTTCTGTACCTGGCAGAGCTGCTGTGGCAAAACTCGGAGTTGCGCTTTGGCTATGCGGATGATCTGAACATCTGGCGGGCGACCCACTCACTTGACAACAATGCCACCCTTCTCAGACAGGATATACAGAGTATTCTGAGGTGGGGGGAGATAAACAAGGTGGCCTTCGCACCAGAGAAACTTGAGATGATCCATCTTACAAGAAAGCGACACAATGAGGCACCAGCAGTAGTTGTGTCTGAGGACCTCACTGTTCACCCTGTTACTGCCCCAGCTGGACAGGAGCCAGCACTTCGCTGGCTGGGTGTACACTTCGACAGAAGGCTCACCTGGAGACCACATGTCTCCACCCGGGCAAAGAAGGCAAGGGCCGTGGCCCAGCACATCCGGAGTCTGGGAAAGACCAGAGACGGGCCCCCAGCAGACGCTCTGCGGAAGGCGGTCACCACCTGCGTGGTTCCCTCACTGCTCTATGGCACAGAGGCCTGGTACGGCGGCCGCACGCAGCCAGCAAGGCACACGGGCGGGAGTGGGGAGGTTAGCTCCCGCCTGGGATGGCATGTGGGGACAGTTGAGAAGGTGCTTACTATGGCAGCCAGAGGGGTCCTCCCAGTTTTCCGTACAACGCCCATCGCTACCCTATACCGGGATGCTGGGCTCCCATCAGCAATGGTAGCTCTGGAGGAGGCCAAAATTCGATTCGCGACAAGGCTTCAGGTGGTGGATGAGAAGCACCCACTGGCTTCACGGATAGCACCTCCAATGATCACACGAGGAAGAGGGGCTGGAACCCGGCAGCGCTCAAAGACCAAGATCCAGCGGTTGGGGGCGCTGCTACCTGCAGTCAATAGACCCACACTTGCCATCCCACACTACTCAGAGGGATGCGGGACAGACCCCACAGAGGGTGTAGACAAAAAGAGTGCTGCTCAGGCATTCAAGAAATGGTGGAGAAGTCAACCCTCAACAGATCTATATGTTTTCTCAGATGGATCAGAACGGAGCCTTGACAACAGCAGGCAGGTGGGCTATGGCTTCATAGTCTATCAGGGATGTCTTCGACGCGGAGGCAGTTGGTGCCTGCCGGGCATTGGAGTGCGCCGTGAAGCTCCTACCTTGTGTCACAGAGGACAGCAGCAACCCTCAGATCTGGCTCTGCCTCGACAACACCTCAGTCATCTGGGGCATACGGGGCAGTGCAGCAGCCTCCTCAAACTGGGCCTACAACCGCTGCCATGAGCTCCTCAGACAGCACAATGTCGGCCTGAAATGGGCTCCTGGGCATATGGGGATAGAGGGCAATGAGGAAGCAGACCGCTTGGCTAAGCGGGCAGTCTCATCCACTGCAGCCCCAGCCTATGGTCTCGAGGCCACACCCACAGTCAGTGGGGTCCGCACAGTGGCCAAGCAGCTCAGCCAAGAGGCAAGGCGAAAGTGGTGGAGTGGAGCCTGTGGCAGGCTCTCTGACTGGTACCGGGGCTGGAGTTTCAGCAGGCCGACTGTGGAATACCAAGTGAAGGCCCCTCCGGAGCTCACCATGCCACGGCATGCCCTTCACCGCTGGCTCGCACTCCGCTCCTCTCATGGGGACTTCTCCTGGTACCACAGGCGTTTCCAGCATGCAGATGCGAGGCTCACCTGTGTCTGTGGACACAACAAGAGCCCAGAACATTTGGTGCTCTGTCGACACTCACAGAGGCACTTTCTTCACTGGCCCAAGAGGCCAGCAGCACGGCCACACAACCGGGCGACAGCTGTTGCCTATCTAGGGTCTCTGACCCCTACAGACTTTGTAGAACTGCTGGACTGCACGCAGTTCTACACACGGTACTGCACAAGGTAACGCAGCCGGCTGGCTGCAAACCATCTGACAACCCCCGCAGCAGTTCCACGAGGCCGGCCTGCTGAGTACACCCACGGTAGCTAGTGCAACTGCCAGGGACATCACAGTCTATGCAGACAGTACAGATAGCACAACTAGGCTCATCTGTCTCAATTAGCTGTGGTGTAATCAGTACAGTCTACGTGTCTGACTCAGCTGATATGGTTTTGACTGCCGGCATTGTATCTACGCGTGCTCTGCTTTGTTTTCCTCTCGTTTGCCCTTGTCTCTATCGGCTCAAATGCTTCTTCTACCTTCTTTTCTTTGCTCTCTCTGTCATTCTCTGCTCTTTTCCTGTCACAACCTTCTTCAGTGCTCTCTCCTTCATTATTTATCTTGTCTGTCTTTCTTCTGATGTTAGAAGCACAGACAGCTTTCTGATCAACTGAGAGAGGTATCCCTCTCTGCTCACTATAAAGCCTTCCAGGCACGGCAGCGGCGGTCCCCTCAGGGAACCACACTATAGCCCCACCATGAATGGCCATACGTCGGGCCAGAAGTGGATGCGCAGCTCAGAAAAATCCTTTGCAATGAGCTGAGTCTTCTCAAGAGTTGCCACCTGGATTCTGTTTTCTCTCTCTGTGTACATAGAAATCTCTCCAGCGTAGCACGTCTCCATGCCCTTCGGGAGGCTTCTGAAACACGGGCGCTGCCCGTGTTTTCTCCGGGACGTTAAACCTATACATACATACATACATACTCACATATGTGAGCTTTGAAGTCAAGAATATAACTATTCACACATTCATCAAATTCACTTTGAAATTCCACTGAGCACTCTCAAGATCACTGTATGCAGAGTCATTGAATGTGTTAATGAGTTGTTCAAATCTCAATCTGAAGCTTCTAGAAAACTGTCTGAATCTGAGTGAGATCATCTTTATGATATGACTGTTCACATCAATCTTCATATCTCAATGAAGAATCTCTATGTTGAGATGGATGACAAGGTTAAAACAAGATCTATACAGCTTCTTATGAATGAGATGAGAAGAAGAAAATGGTTTCAACACATCTACTCTGCATTTAAGAAAACACATGCAGCTCAATGTCTTTGCTGAGCAGACATCTATAAAGATTACACCTTTGCAAATTGGTGAGGAGTTAAGTGGTTTGATGAGTGTACAGTTGAAAGAGAAAAAGAAATTGCTGTTAAATGAACCTTCTTACAACCCTCAGAACAACTGACTTAAAAACATATTAAAAAGATGAAATGTGAGAAAGCATTCAAGAAAATGTTCTGAGTGGCTTTTAGCTAAAATTCTTATACAGAATTGATGCCACTGAATGGAGATTCTGAGTCTGCCAATCAAGAAATATCAGCCAGAATATGATTCTTCATAGTAATTTCATTATTTCTGATGTATACTAATACTTTTTCTATCACAATTCATAGGTAATCTGCGAACTCTACTGAGCATATCTATTCACTATATTGGAAGAAGGAGATATATTCATACATGATAATACATCTGTGCATACAGCTAGAATTGTACAGACCATTCTGTAAAAGATGAGGATTCAAATCATTCTGTGATCATTATATTCATTTGATTTGAATTCCATTGAGAATTTATGATCAATCATGAAGAGAAAGATATACAAGATTCAATCAGAGTTGGAGTTTGCAGATGACACAGTAGCAACATTAAATCTATTTATAAAAACTGCAAAAGAGACATGGAATTCAATAGATAAAAGTATTCTTTATAATCTTTCTATTATAATGTCAAATCATGTGACTGCAGTCATTGAAGCAAAGGGATGGTATACAAAATATTGAGTGTTATCCACCTTTGAGGGCCGCCCGGGCGGGAAACGGCCCTTCCCGATGCGGAAACCGGCCGTCCCTTTCTGCGCTTGCGGTCCGCGCCGCCGACCCCAGCTAAACCGCAACGTCTATATAAACCCGCACCTCTTGCCGTTCTAACGACCTCGCTCCGTTGTCATTTTACCCTCGCCCTCCCCTCGCCCTCATTCAACCACGCTCGCCAACGCTCACCAACGCTCACCAACGCTCACCCACGCTCGCCCGCGCTCGCCCGCGCTCCCACTCGAGCCCACCTAGGTCACCAACGTGCGTCCGGGCCCTGGAATCTTCCCTTCGGTCTCCCCCTCACCCCGTGCTCTCTACACTACACCCATCTTCCGTAGAATTTCCCACCCTTCCTCTCCAGGTCCCATGCTACGCTCTTTTACATTCCTCCGCCTTTACTCCCTCTACGGTCTCTCTGTCATCAGGCCATTCAATCAATCTCGATATCTGGCCGCGTACTCCGTGTAGTGCAGGGCGCGTTTGCCCCTTCCGCGGTGCAGGTCCTGTCGGGCTCTCTCTCTGTTCCCTTGACCTGCGGTTCCCGGTGGCTAGGCCCGGCCTTGCGCCCCTGCCTAGCGGGGTTTTCTCCCTTTCTCCAGTGGCAGGGGCATGGTGGCGTGTCACGGCGAAGGAAAGAAATTTCTCTGCATATCCAACCCTCGCGGCGTGGCTGATGGGGTGACGTGGACATCACTCCGGCGCGGGTGAATTTTTGGTCACGCTACGGTTGCCTCCTGGCCAGTAGTACGACGCCGAATCTACGACAATGAAGGCCTCCACCGGAGATTGGGATCCAGCCCTGGTATTCTGGCGCTACAATCAAGCGAGGAGACGGGGATTGTGTGAAATTGCGATGTGATGTCGGAGTCACCCGCCTTTACACTGCATACGCTGCATGTCTCAGCTGGATTGAATTGAGGGATCTGTTTGACTATTGGAGATTCCTGCTTATGCGACAGGGAAGTGCGTTGGAGCGCGGGGGAACACATGACAAGCAGGTCAAGAACGCCGTCGGTTGATGCTACGGTCTAGGAAATAAGAAGCGAGAGAGGCTGCGATTCGCCTGCACTCGCTGCGGAATATGGCGGCTGGTATTGCAAGACGATGGGCGACGCACAATTTCCCCCTTAATTTACCGGGATTTGGTCAGCTTCTGGGATGCCGGATATTGGGCTCGTTCAAGGTGATGGGGGAGTGGAAAGGCTGCGAGCGGTAGCCTGATCCGGCGTAAATTTTCGCCCGCTCCATGATGATATCTACACTGCTGCGTAGCTGCCCTCTGGGTCGAAATCGCTATCCTTGGTCCATCTTCCATCCCCTGCAGGTGCTCATACTGCGCCCGTCTTTCAGCTCGCCACCAGCTCAACCATTGATGCTGTAAGTGGGATATTTGTAATGTTCCAACCGACGGTTTCAGCTGGGCCGTGTTAGCCGGGGGTTAAAGCAGGGCTATCGGTCTCGCTTCGCTGGCAATGCACCAGGGCTCTCTGGGTGTCACATTTGAATACGAAGTCCAACGAACGAGTGGTTCTTAATTTATCCATCTGTGCCAAAATTCCTGCGCCGCCGGCATTCCCTATCTAGGATAAGTCAGCTGTGAGGCCTCGCTGAGACTTCGGTTCCAAAGGTTGGAGAGCTATTTCAGCGTGCTTCTTCCCACCCTGAAGGTCTGGAAAGCTGGATTTCTCTTCCCTCCCAAAACGACTCGAGCTTCCTACAATCCTTCCAGAAGCACTGCTTACACCATTTCACTATTCCGTATAGCCGACTAAATCGCCGCCCCATGTCGTTCCTCCATTTCAATCCAAAAGCCACGGCACCGGGCACAAAATTTCAGCGGACGCCGGTTTCCCATGCCCAGCAACCTGCGATCGGAAAAGCGAGTCGATAAGAACAAGAAACCGGTCAACAAGGAGCCTCCTAAGATACTTGAAAATCAAGTAACCAGCTCGAACATGGAGGCAACAGACATTCAGAACCAGCACCTAGATTTGCGTATCGAAACGGGCGACAATGATTGGGATTCGCTGCGTCGTCTCTTCTATATCAATGATTCCGACCTACCGGATACATCGATGTCCATCGCTACGAATAAACGATCCCCCGACTATGAAGATGATGAGGAGAGCAACACCAGTTTAGGCTCACAGCGCAGTGGCTCCTGCAACGACAGCGACAGCGGTGTGATCAATATCAACTCAAGCAAAGATATGCCAGGGCAGGATTGCAGAAGAGGTGATGTGGGGTCTAAACCCCGAGCCCCGAGTACTAGAGACAGCAAAGGTATGTCCCTTACTCTTAAGATTTCCTTAGTTCCTGCCATCCACCCCTCCATTCTCGCGTGAGTTCTTACGAATGTTAGACACATCCATCGCCATTGATGGTGTCCGGGATCTGAGCGACGATGATAGGATCCCAATTTCCCAAACCGCGCCAAGTACATGTAGCTTGGCACCCAGTGTCGGGAGTGATGACGAGTCCGGCTCTGAGGGTCGGACCCCACCGCCGCCAATGTTGATTGAAGATGGCGGAGTGACAACAGAGGAGTGGTTGGTTGATGAGATCTTGGCGGGGGATGATGACCAAGGGATGCGGTGGTACTTGGTGAAATGGACAGGCTACGACCCTTCTTGGCAGCCTGAACACGATCTGATCCCTGGATGTGAGGAGTTGGTCGATGAGTTCCACGCTAAACCGGGGAAGCTACAGAATCACGGATCCCGTAAGCGGCGTGGGAGACAACCTTTGAGGAATCGCTCCAAGAAGGCGCGGTTTACATTTTAGCTACAGCCTGTTCTTGTATTGATTCAACCTTTTCTCGTCTCATCTTTACATTGGATAAATGTTTAATGATACTCCATTGCTGCCCTTCTTTACAAATGATCGGCCAAGCATGTTCTACTAGCGTTCTCTAGAATGTTACCTTCTTGTCCTTCTTACCTTGTCGATGTATTTGACCATCTCAAGATAGCTGAGATATATTTTCATCAATGAATGTACTCGTCAAACGTTAGGCAAAGAAAGGAAGTTTGATTCTTGTTCCTTGGATTGGCCACTTCTCATGGCGCATCGTGGCCCTTCTTGTAATTGATGGCGGTGTCAAAACTATACGCAGTAGTCTTCACACTTTTACAATGAGGAATAGAATATTTACATAGCAAGTGAGGAAAGATTCCTCATAAATGCTAGATCTAGAAAATGCTTGACCGAGCTGGTGGTAGATACATATTCGACGTTCGTGGAAGTTACGCCTCGTTGAACAGTGCCTCTTTAAACTCCACCTTCCTCATTATTCCCTTTCACCCGCCGTCGTTTGCGCATATCTCGCGCCCTTGCGCGTTTCTCCAGACGCCCAGTTTATCTATATGTGTCACGCCAGCTTCTGACGCAAGTACTTTGCCCAGCGAACAGGCACTAGGTTGCTCGAGGAAATAGTCCCTTTTTCGGGGTTTTTCCCGGATGGTACCACACTGCCTACATTCATCTGACTTGCCCCGTGGTCTTGGAGCTGATGTTCAATATCCAAGACGCTCCACGCGTTCTCCTTTCCTTGTATATCTTGTAATGTTCGTAGCTTTGAACGTCGAAGGTGCGGCCAACGTAATGAAACCAATCCTCGATTGCTTGGTGGAAGCATTCGTCTATTTTCAATTGACCGCTCCGTACCAGGGGAGGCAGGTCGCTAAAGATTTGCTCCATGCTCTCGATCTATATATGTGAAAATGTTGTTCGGCTGTTGATGACAGGGTTGGAATTGCTATCTACAGCGGTACATCGCTATTGTCATGGCAGCTGGGAAATTTTAGACGTAAGGGACAGCAACCCCTATCTAATTCTCCTTCCATGTCCGTGGCTGAGGCTGTCAGCTCTGCATCGCTCCAAGCATAAAGACACTGCGCACACCTGCTCTATCTTCCCATGCCAGTCCCTGATTACTTGTTCTGCTTGTTTGCCTTGTTGCCTTGCTACCATAGTAGTTCCTAAAGTGGGAATAAGAGCACCGTAGACCTCATCATGTTCGATGTTGACAAGTTCTCATCCATCGGGTTCCCCGACTAGGAAAGGGTGATTGAGTAGCTTGGTGATTGGCATTCGCCTTTGAGGGTTTTGCTGTAGCATCAACGAAAGAAACGATACAAGATGCTGGACATTCTCAGTACCGAAGTCATATGGCAACCTGTCCGTCAGGTGTTTTGTAAAGTTCTCATGCATCTGACCGTTCTCATCAAGGAGCTGGCTAATACGGTATGTGTGCTCTTTGTCGATCTGTTCAGCTGTGAGGCCAAAAGACCCTAAGGGAAATAATGGCTCGTTTGTCGCCAATTCAAATATCTTTACACAAGGATTAGATTGGAGAGAACTGAGTTTAGATACAGGGGGGCATACCAAACAACCCAAGGCCCAGATATCTATGCTGGCATCCCAAGTATTTCGGTGGATTAGCTCAGGTGCACGCAAGGCTGTCGGTGTTACCGGCCGCTGATCACGTTGTCGACTCCATAGAGCTAGGTAATGACATGAGTCTTGTACCAGCTTTGGGTCCGATATAAACAATGGGTGCATCATACCTCCACCCAGATCACCAATCTTAACCAAGATCGTGGTGAAGTCTGCGTCATCCAGTTCGCCCCGACGTCTCTGTGTAGCCATCAAATATTCCGGCGCGCTGTCATCTACCTTCACTCCTTCTAGCCACCTAACAGGGCTGAACTCGGGAGGCTGCAAAAATGCCTCGCCGTGCGCAGCCCCAACAATTGAAAACATAACATTTGCGGGTTGCAGATCTGCATTACGTCAGGACATTCTATCGAATTTCATGCTTCAGGCGTTGACCTACCGCAATGAATTATGCCTAGCCGATGAAGGAAGTCGAGACCCAACAAGACTTGTTTGGAAATAGCTCGTACGTAGGCTGCGTGGTGCGGCCTTCCGCTGACGCTCGTAATTTCGCCGTCGGATATCATTGCAGGGAGCACCAGACACAAGTGTGTCCCATTTGGACCATCGTGCTCAAAATAATCCAGCAGTTCGATAACATGCGCTTTGCCAGGATGATCTAGGCCCGGAGCAGACAATTTAAGGAGCATAGCAAGCTCTTTATTGTTTCTGGAAGCATCTGCTTTCAGTATCTTCAATGCGACATGACGCTGGAGCCTTAAATGTATTAGTTGTCACTGGGGAAGTATGGTCGGCCGAAGAGAGACTCACAATTGATCATGTGTAAGCCATACTGTCGAAAATTGACCAAACGCCAACTTTCCGATAACCTCGTACCTCTGATTGAATACGTCGTGAAGGTGTACTGGATGATAGCCTCCCTGCCGATACTCCTCAACAGGCTCAACGACGTCGTGGATTCTTTCGAAACGCCGCATTTTGAATTCACAGGCAACTGGCATCTGGCTGAGGAATCGTCCCGGAAGTTGTTTGCAAGTTGACCATATCCAGGGCTCATGTCATAAAGCTGAGGGATGTGGAAGGAGCTGACAAACTCTTTCAATGTCATGTGACAGAGCTTGAACTGTCCGCTTCACTTTCTCCTCCACACATGACCCAGAAAGCAGATTGGTGAAGCTATTCAAGAATACCCAGCCAAAAGTTCCATTTGCATAGAGACTGATCCTTGCAAATATTTTGGTGCACCATTACCTATAAATTACCGCCAAGCCTATGGAGCGATGGATTCTCGATTGTGATGGCGACTCTCCACCATAGTATCTACAACTTTAAGCCGCGCCTCTAGCACTTATGCTCTGGAAATATATAACCTCGCCATGATGCCGTTGTCGTTGTTTACTTACCCTTAAAATCTTCTACTTATCAATAATCAAAGCTCTATCCAAGCCACTACTCTACCGCCCCGCATGGTCCTGCCTGTTGAATTCAAGCCTCCTACCATGTACTCCACCCAGCCAAACGTGAGGACGGAGATCGAGGAGCTGGTGCGAGACCACCACCAAAACAATTTGCTGGGGAAGGACGGAAAGATCTATGACAAAGCTGTTGTCATGTAAGGAAGCTATCCTTTCGGACTTTGAAATTCGCTAATGGTCGCCAAGCTGCAACTTCCATACAAGTAGCCATAGTGGTGACCCAAAAGAACATTGTACCGTTGAATATCATGCCGGAAGCTACGTGAAGACTCAGCACATCTACCACAAGGATTGAGTCGAGGTCCCGTTTGGAGGTTATGGATGCGGATGAACAGGGAAGCACTAGTGGATTATGTGACGGAAGGGAGAATTTGGGAAAATGTCACATAACAGGTAATTTTAATGCTGCGGGGCTGCTAAGTCAAGAGGCTTATCTTCTTGATCACGAGGCTTAACCGGGCCCTAGATGATTTGTAAGCTGCCGCTCACCTGCAACCTCTGGTCGGCCCCTCGTTCCGAGGGTCCGCCATCTCAACGTTATCCGCCATCTCAACGCGATTATTTTCAAATACGCGAATCTCTTTTTTCAAAATGCAATAATCAACCAATGTGATGACTTCTACATATATTTTAATAGAGAATAAGATCACAGAGGCTCTAGATTCCATAGCCGATATTGAAAAACCCAATATCAAAGCATTGGCAAGAGATTATAACCTTCCCTATTCCCGTCTGCTCAATCGATACAATGGCTGTGCTCCGCGAACTCATCGACCTCCTGCTAATCGACTTTTATCTTTTGAGCAGGAAAAATCACTTTGTCAGTATATAGAAGCTCTAGATAAGCTATGCCTACCTCCCAATCGATCGATGATCTTTGGTGCTGCTCGATTCCTACTTGCGCAGAGCCATACAGATTCTACCACACCTGCACCTGGGCTTGGAGAGCACTGGGTCAAAAGATTTCTCAAACGCCATCCAGAGTATAATGTACGCAAGCAGAAGACCATTGATATATTACGGAAACAGGCTCATCAACCATCTCATATCCTTGATTGGTTTAACCGGTTCAAAGAAACAGTCAATAAATATGGAATTCAAGATTGCGATATCTACAACTTCGATGAAACAGGGTTCAGAATAGGAATTGGACATGATCAATGGATTGTAACGCGAGATCCTCGAAGACGGGCCTATGTTGGAAGTTCAAATAATAGAGAAAGTCTTACTATCATTGAAGGAGTTGCAACTGATGGCTTTACCATTCCTCCCTTATATATTCTCACCGCGAAGCAGCTACAGGAGCGGTGGACAGATGAAATAGAGAAGATGCCATGATAGCTACATCCGACACTGGGTATAATAATGATCAAATCTCTTTTCAGTGGATTCAGCATTTCCATCGGTCTACAAAAGCTCGCACCAAAGGAACCCACCGTCTGCTTCTATTAGATGGATTTGACTCCCATTGCACCTTTGAATTCATGGATTTTTGTGAAAAGAACAACATCATTCCCTTCTATCTCATCCCGCATACGAGTCACCTATTACAACCTCTGGATGTTGGTGTTTTTCAAGCCTTTAAGCATCATCATTCAGTGGCAGTTGAAGAAGCAACAAGACGCGGCTGTGAGAAGTTCACAAAGGTTGAATTTCTTCATGCTATCACCTCCATACGAAAAGCAACATTCAGAGTTCATACAATCAAACATGGATGGGAAGCAACTGGCCTACTTCCATTCAATCCTTCAATTGTCCTTAATAAATTGCGTGAATTCGAGACTACTCCTTGAGAATCTTCAAATTCAGATTCCATGGATTCAGATACTTGGTATACTCCTTCAACTGTACGCCAATTCAACCGATATAAACGCAAACTCGAGGCTTTGGAAGAGGAAGATGAAGATAACTATGATGAGGACTATATATATGAAGGATTACAGAAGCTTTATAAGGGTAGTATTGCAATGGCCAATACAGTGGCTCTTTTGCAGGAGGAGCTCTCGCAGACAACTGCCGCCTCGGCTGCTCGCAAACGCCGTCTGAACGGCTCACGGAGGGTAGTTCATAAAGGAGGAGTCATCTCTGCAGATAATATTCGCAAAATGACAGCTATTCATCATCAGATTGGTATTGAGGAGGCATTGGAGAAGTTACGGCCAAAATGGAAGAAGGTTATGAAGGAACTTAAGAGATATTGCAGAGACAAAGGCATTTATGTTAATGCCACCAAATTTACAAGGAATTCACGGCAATAGTTCATTTACAATATAATCTATTTGTATCTATCAAATATAGATTCATTGGTTGATAAATCAACTGAATATCATGGGGTATAAGTGGGCAGTAACGTTGAGATGGCGGATAACGTTGAGATGGCGGACCCTCGGAACGAGGGGCCGACCAGAGGTTGCAGGTGAGCGGCAGCTTACAAATCATCTAGGGCCCGGTTATATTCATCTACATTAGTACTCATACCATAGCTTTCGTTAACCCCCCAATTATATGATTGAAACCCCCGAACCGTCCCGCTAGAAAATGCCATTAGTCAAAATCAGCATCAGGGATCTGCATGCATAACCTGGTAATAAATTTTATGGATGTTGCTTGATAACATTTGGCAGTCGACTAGGCTCCAGCCTTGGCGGGAGGTTCATTGGTTGATATCTCGATTAGACGAGGGCGAATGGCACAGCAGAGCTCATAAGAGAGAATCATGAGTCACAAGCGGAGTAGGCCCGAGCGCCCTGATAAACATCGGCCCCCAGTCTAGGGTAGATTTGGTTGGTGATTGCATTCGCAGCGCTCGGCGCCAGCAGAATCCGTGTTGGGGGCCTTCGCGCTGAAGCTTGAGCTTGTAAACAGGGCCTGGAAATTGAAAAGCGAGGCTCAATATGGATGGCCGATATGTTCAGCCACTTTTCATTTGCTTTGTACAGCCCATTCTTCATCTCCGCAAAGGGATTATTGCAATAAACCGTTTATATTCGTCAAAACTGCTCAATGTTGATGGTTACACACAGCTCGTCCCACTACAGCACCTATTGTAGCCCTCAACTTCTGCCTCTTCTGTTTTCTAGTCAGGGTTCAAGGACAGTTCTTTTTTTCCTGAGCTGTCTACTAATCAAAACCCCCAAACGGCCAAACGATCATGGGGGACTCGCGATGAAGGCAATTATACAAATGTTGATATTTGCGGCGATGACAGATGTGCCTCGCATAGCCTAGGTCGTGGATGCGTCTTCTAAATCCACCAGCTTATACAGGCCGACGGAAGCTGACAATTCTTCAGTTTAAACGCCGAGTAATCTTATTCCCAGCTATATCACCCACCCTTGATTTTTTGGGGTTTCTGCTCAGAATCTGGGTTTCATCTTCCACATCTTTGTTTGCAGCAGCAAAGCTCCATTGCGCATCCTCGGTTTCATCAGTCACAGTTGAAATATCGGAATCATCTAAGGTAGCAGCTATGTCGGAGTTCGTCTGGTGCTGAGATGCAGAATGACATTGGGACTCAGTCTCTGAGAATCTTTCATTTGCCGCCCCAATAACTCCAGCCCTCTTTTCCTTTGCCCAATCTCGGGCATTCCTGTATGCCGACGCTCCTTGCCGAAAAGTTTCCAAGTTACCAGTCATACCCCACGTATTGAGCTGAGTCATAATATACTCGGGACGGTAATCTGGGCCGCTGGGCTTGGTGAGATGAGTTGTGTATAGCTTGAGTTGACCGCCATGATAAGTCGATGTAAGAGTATAGGCGTTGTTGTCGTAGGTTGATTCGTCTTCTTCGTATGACCGAAGGGAATGCATTCCTCGGGCTCCTAGAGCGCCATCATAACAAGCCTGACGTGTAGCCACAGCCAGGGATCCGTCGGGGCCTTTCGCTTCTAAAAAGAAGTTTGGTGCTATTGGGAGGTCATCCTGCGTTGACGGAACAATCTGGCTGCTCAGTTCCTTGCGGATTTGACGATTGAGCTGTTCGGGACGAGCGCCATAGAAGTGATCTGGTCTGGCAGAAGCCAGTGTGCCATCAGTTAAGGGAGCAAGATTTCCAAATGGATAATCCCTTCCGACACATTTAAGGTCACTGATATCGCCGTCAAGAATTGGAACTACTGAAACTGTAACGGGCTTCTCTTTGGATGCATATGCATCCGCTTCTCTGAAATCTTCAAAGCGCTTCTCAGAGAACTTCGAGGGAGAAAGGGAAGCTCGCGATCGCGCCAACATTTCATTGATCTCCATCCAGTTATTCGGTTTTAATGGCTTCTCGCCGTCTGGATACCTATACTCCGGTGGATAGACTCTATGGTCAATTAAATTCTGCTGAAAGTTCCTACTATATGCTGAGGTGCTTGAGGTTTTTGTGGTCGTCTTTGTGTTTGCGGTGGTGGATGATGGAGGAGATTCCGCCCGACGCTTCCTACGATGGGAGGATGACCTTGAACTCATCGGTTGGGGGACAGGATACTGGGATAACATTAGCACCGAGGTGGGTATTGGGTTGCAGTTGCATACATTTCTCAAATCAGACAGGTCGGGTCCTCCCAATCTCGAAAACCTCTCTATCTCCTTTAAGCGACCAGGCAGACAATCACGGAGAATATCCGGAGCAAAATAAAACGTTTCACGGTGCTTCAGCTCAGTAAATTGTCGAGTGATGGGCCTATGAAGTTTTCGCAATGGTCCTTGAGGGCTGTTTCTTCGGTCTAACTCTTTTATCGCGCTCTTGGTTAACCAAACCTTTGATAGATTATCCCAGTAAGACTGGCTGAGCTTCTGCTTCTTCAACTGACGATGTGGTGTTTCGGAAGGATGCTCACGGCGCTGGCGCTTGCGGGATAGCCTAAAGTCGTGCGACGAAGGCATATGGCGGCGGTCATAGGGCATTTAAATTCTTAAATGGAAAGAAGGGGAAGTAAAGGCCGTTTTGTAATAAATTATCACTCATAAATGAGCTTCGACAATGCCGAAGCTGTCATTACTAACAATCATCTGCGATAACCTGGCACAGGCACTAAGCCAAAAGAGGAAGAATTTGTGTGTTCTACCTTCGCTCGGGCCTGTCCTTGTAATGGTGGCGTAGAATCTCGTGGCGAATTTTCTGTCTCCAGAATATAGTCACTTATCCACCACTTTGAAAGCTCATATCCACCACTGGAATTTTGCGACTATTGATAAGCACACCATATCTGCCATTGGAATCCAAGAGACAATGATTCGTTTCAGCCTAAACGCATTGGAGCCCAAATCTACTAGGGTCTTTTCGGCCACTATCGGATCGCTGGAGCAAGTCACATGGCACTCGAGCCCCGCTAACGTTGCAGCCCCTCCTACACGGAGATCGTGTGTATTTCTGGCGCTGAAAGCCGAGCGTCATTGCTATCCCAGAATCTTCATCTGATATTGCGTTTCGAAAAGGTGAGAGAATTATTTATTCGGCCACCAACAAGTGAACCATATGTTCCAACCTGTACCACGCTGTCAACAAACCTCATTTCACACACCCCCAGAAATCGGCCGGAGAAAGTCAGCTTATAGTCTGCATAAGCAAAGGTGACTACGCATTTTACTACCCGTCTTCACAGCTACTGATGTTGTGTAGGCGAACCCCTGGTTCAGGGTGGCACCTAGTCACGATTGAACTTCTTTGCAAGAACGACTTAAACACGACATTTCACATCTACCTTGAAAGGCCATCGTTGTCGCGAGAACCGACGCCGGTTGTTGAAGGATAATGTCTGAGATTCTAGGGAATAAGGCACTCAGAGGGGAGTGGGAGGACATCGGAGCGCTTAAGTTTGAGATGTCGGAAGATATGATTGTGACTTTTGAAGGTAGATCATGCCATATTGAAGACAGCGAAGGCAGGCACGTCGACACATTAGGATCAGAAGATGGAAGAGTAACGAGAGAAGTACTTGAAGGATATCGATGTTACGTGTTGAAGGCAAAAATTAAGTTTGAAAAGAGGTAGTAATAAGTGGTGATCCAGAGCAATGACATTAATACTATTCAACTGTGGATAGGATCAATCTCTTAAGAGAGCTTCTTCTGTGACGTATTCCTCTGACTCTAAAATCTCTGGCTCTCCCAAACCAAGAAAATTTGAGATGTTAAATCCATCGTCGTAGCTAATCGTAATTACAAAGAAAGCATCCGCCTTGCGCTCTGGCAGGTACATAGCGAGGCAGTTTGTGACCTCTAGCCCTCCGGTCTCCTTCTCCTTTTTCCATAAATTGCTTCTCTTCAGCCCGGTACAAAATGGTTCGGGGAGCTTTTCAATCTTATCGCGCGTCGTAAACGAGAAGGGGCAGTAATTACCCTGCCCTGGAAATTCTAATTCTAGGTTATCTCGACAATGTCAACACAGGGGCGACACTCCATTAGGTGATTTCACGGACCTGGAATCTGCTGTGGTCGTAACTGGACACGTTTCGATGGTCGCTCATCTGTAACTTGATATTCGCTCCGCTTCTTGTTCGCTCTCCGTTGCTGACCAATATGGACTGCATCGGAAAGTAAGTTACCTAAGGGTGGTATTTGACTAACCGGTATATTCGAGGGTATTTCTACAGAATGAATATTCAGCGTCATGTTCAGTACATTCTGAGGGCTACCTTGCTTACGCCTGCCACTCTGTGCCATCTCTTGCTGAACCTCTGCCTTCTCTGTAGCCAAGTATTCCGCCTGCACTGTCGGTATTGGTTCTGTCTTGTTTTCATGAGGGTTTGAAGCAGGAGGGAATTGTTGCAAATCTGATTGAAGTTAGTCGCGTCTAATGTTGATTTTCATATTTCAAGTTAATTCGTTACTTACTCCCATTACGCATGCCTTCCCAGGCTGATTTTTCCTGTATAGTGTTCGTTTCGGTTGTATCGCACCATTGCATCTCGAGTTTATGGTAGCCTGAACTTCATTTAGCTTTGTGATACATGAATTTGTGCAAGAAAGCTGCTTACTGTTGAGGAAAGATATTGCATTTGGACGTCTAGGCGCGTTTGCCATTACCTTCCTTATCTGCTCTCGTGCGACCCAGTTGCGAGGAAGCCCTTGCCCCCTCATATACCTTTGCACATTTTTCAGAAGCCAATCGTACTCTTCAGCTGGCAGTTGGGCTAATCCGCTGAAAGAGATCATGCAGAAGACAGCGGTCTGACAACCTAGCTTTTGGAGACAAGTCCAACGAGAATCTTCGTGATCATCACACTTGGAGTCGTCCTCTGACAATTTCTTGATATTGTAGTTCAGCTTTCGCATTGGTAGAAGCTCTCCCTCTCGTATGAGTCTGGCGACTGGTTCAAGTCTCTCCAAGGCTGCGATTTGAGTTGCGAGGTGTAGAACCTTGGCTTTCAAGGACGGAAAACTATCTTCACCATCATTACGGAGTTGGAACGTATCACCGATGATTGAATCCAATTTCCGAAGACTTTGTTGTGACATGGTGGCGCGAGTGGCGAAGATAGACATGAGGGATGAACGGTTTCTTTTGTATTTGAATACGAACATGGTCGTATAGTCGCTGACGCCAGCACGGCATGGCGGAGTTGAATCTTTTCAGCCACAAGGCACATTTTGCGCATATAGTTTTACCCACCAAATGATGTGGTCAGGGGGGGGATTTGAGAGCAAAATGTTCGGGTTATAGCGTCTTGGCAAATTTTATGCATTCGGATATTGGGAATACCAACGTGTTTTCACTTTGACCATACCTTTTTGGGTTTTAGGTTTAACATACTGGGGGCCAGCTTGCTGCCTTGGATGCTTAGATTGACCTTGTACATATGGCCCTGGAAGTGAACGCGAAAAATGCGGAGTTCAGGATGGCCGGCTCGATCTCAGTCTCAATCAATCTCGTCACTTTCCAATCAGCTAGCTTCCATCAACAAGGAACATGCCATATTATCACCTAACGCCAACACATTGTGCCAGAACACTTAAAATGCGCCAGTCAAAAGTTTCTGGTAGCTGCAATATCCTCCTTCCTTTTCTTAATTTAGTGTATCCGCACTACCAGAAGCTACAAGTAATCTCTCTCAATTGTCTCGATTTTGAGCAAAGGTCTCCCGATCAGTGACGAGAACAACCATGCATACCAACATCCTTTTTCGTAGTATATCTTTTCTTTTTATTTCATGTAACTTCCTTTATGCGTGGTTTTGCTACGCACAACTAGGTCATCCCACTACTGCAAGCTATGACAAGATTTTCTTCCTCCATTGTTTTCAATCCTAAGGGACAACTATGTATCCTGCGGCACATCCCTGGCGTCCAGATCTCGCAAAGATATTTGCGGCGTACGGCAATGCGTCTCGCATACTCTAGTCCCATGCCAGGGAAGAGAAGTTGATAGATAGCAATTGAGAATGGAGTTGGATCCGCTGGTTGCAATACAACAGTATATAAGGAGGCAAGATTCCCTCCGAATTCTGAGACATGAACAGCTCACGAAATCCGAATTCTGAAAATACAATCCCCTACCAATTAGATCACTTACTGTATCAATTGCCGCAAACCCATTGCACATAATACCATCTGTTTAGAAAACCAAACCACGTCTCCTACTCCAGAATGAACGCATTCAACACTGCTGGTTCTTTGCCAATCCACACTGCCGCATCCCAGATCTCCACTGTGGACGTCTTCTTCCCCGGCTTCACCGGCATCTCGGCGTCCATGCAGCAACTCCTAGCTAGTGACCTGAACAGCTATGCTCACCTTCTGTGCTTCTGCAGCATGCTCCTGTTCTTGGGTAGGTACGCCGTCCGTTACTTGACGGACTTGATGGAGACCTATTTCAGTTCGTGGCTCTTCCCCCTAAGGATAGCTTTTTCTAACCATGGAAAGCTTCGACCGTCCACGTCTCCTACTACAACGAAGCGTACGATATGCTCATCGCCTGGGTATCCACCCAGCCGTTCGCCCATAAGGCTCGCTCCTCTCTCGCCAGCGTCGGCGGCATGCAAAGACGAGTATACGCTGATGAGCTTTCGAACGAGAACAATAAGAAGCCTTTGCGGTTTTCACCTTGGAATGGATCATTCTTCTTCGTGTACAGGAAGCATCTGCTCCGGTTTCAGTGCGTGGCAAGAGAGACGAAGGAGGATATCTCCATCTCCTGCATCGGCGGATCGTCGCAAATCCTGAGAGACCTCCTGAGTGAATGCCGAGCCGACTATCTAAAACTTCTCCAGAAAAAGACTACGGTCTTTGAGCATCATGACGGTGAATGGAGGAAGGCGAAGGCAAGAGACATCAGACCAATATCGACAGTCATCATGGATGAGGACGAGAAAACGGCCGTGCTGAAGGATATCGAGGGTTTCCTGGACGAGCGAGCCCGCGGCTGGTATGCAAGGCGCGGGATTCCCTATCGAAAAGGGTTCCTGCTGTATGGGCCTCCTGGAACCGGGAAGTCCAGTTTCAGCTTATCTGTGGCCGGGCGTTTTGAACTGGATATCTATGTTCTCAATCTTTCAAGCATCGACGACAGCCGCCTGAACAGTTTGTTTGCCCAGCTTCCCCCGCATTGTGTCATTCTTTTAGAAGATATCGATGCTGCTGGCACGACGCGAACGGAACTCAGTGAAATGACAGGAAACGCCGGCCAGGGTGTGGTAGGCCCTCCACAGAACAGGAAGTCCCAGGGAAATGTGTCTCTGTCCGCTCTTCTTAATGCCCTGGACGGCGTATCTTCGCAGGAAGGTCGATTGCTGATTATGACGACAAATCACATCGAGCTTCTGGATGACGCGCTCATCCGCCCTGGCCGCGTGGACAGAAAGGTTTTGTTTCAGCTCGCTGATGAGAAGATGAGTTCTCGTCTTTTCTGCACGGTTTTCAAGCGGTCGGATGAGGATGACAGCAACCCAGAAAAGAAGACCGATGCAGAAAAGAAGACAGATGATGAAAAAATTGACCGACTTGCGCGTGAGTTTGCCGCCAAGATACCAGACTATTTATTTAGCCCGGCGGAGATACTACTATCGTTCCTGCTTGAACGCAAGCAGTCGCCTACCGACGCAGTGGCTGATGTGGAGGATTGGGTTGCCAAAACCAGCAAAGGAAGGGGAAAGGTGAAGAATTACGCCAGGGCACGAGCAATTGCCAACCCCACTGACTCTTTCGAGGATCTTGCGGAGAGTTCCCAGGCTCACAACGCTTGATCCATCGCGGAAGCCTGGCGGACCCAACGCATTCTTACGTCTCGGCCAATCTGGGAGGCCCTCTGCTGTTTGTCTGGCGAGACGTTAGCTCCGAGTTGACGTTCTCGCGAGGTGGACTGGGACAGATATTTTCTGCTTCACGTTTCTCTTTCATGTTTCTTTGTCAGTAATTGTTCCTGATGGCAACACTGCTTGTTTTAACGTTGAATCTTCATGACTTCGCCTTTTATCCGTCACAAGATCTGCCTTGTTTGATTTTCTGTCGTAGTTCAATAATTGACGGAACTTAGTCAAATTTTGTAAACATCGCTCGCCATACATCAACGGGAAGTGCGGAGGAACCTCCCTCTGTTCGTAGGCGCCGTTTCTCCGAGCATGCTCGATCAATAAACTGTCCGTAGCTCATCACTAATGAATGGTGTGGACGACGCGGTCCTTCATAGTCACTTCCCATCTGCTCTCGAAGGAGGACAATTAGCGTAGACCAGTGGACTGAAGGCATATAAAGCCAGCCCTCCTCCCACTTTGTTTCCCTCGCTCGATATTCCCTTTTCTCCTCATAAAATGCCGCAGTTTTCACTATGGCGCCTACAATCCAAAACTTAGCCCAAAACAAACCAATAGCACCCAAACCAATGGCACCTGACGTCCAGAGCGATAGCCCCCAAGCACGCCAAATTTCGGACAAAAAAAGGCCAAAATGGTCCCCAGAAGAAGATGTTCTGATCATCGAGCTTCGGCAGCGCGGAATGGCGTGGGGAGATATCAGCAAGGAACTCCCCGGGCGAAGTGCACTCAGCTGTCGCCTGCACTACCAGAATTACCTTGAGAGACGGAGTGAGTGGAGCGAGGATCGCAAGACCAATTTGGCCCTATTATATGAAAGGTGGAAACGGCGTGATATCTGATGACAACCGGCTCCTTACTGACAGAGCAAGCAGATTCAAGTCGGAAATGTGGGCGAAAATTGCAGAGGAGATGTCCATCCCCTGGAGGGCCGTTGAAGCTATGCACTGGCAACTGGGAGAACAAGAAATGGCGAGACGATCTAGGACAGTTCCGTTCTCATTCTCTCAACCCGCATCAAAACGCTCACGTTCCGTTCAGCTCCCTCCCTTTGCGGAACTCGACGCCGTATCCCAAGGGAACCGCAGCAACGCAGCTACTCTCTCAACGTGGATGGCGTGATTATCGCCGCCGTGGCTTCATACCAATAATAGCCGTACAATTGGGGTTCGATACCGCAGCGTTCGATGTATGTCTCTGGTCAGATGTCCAAGGCAAATCGGAGGTTCCGGGATATCTTGGTATTTATTCTTTGGTCCCACCGCGTGAGGCCGGTTTCTACGGATCTCCTCTGGTTCCATGTTCGTGGTGATTGTATATGAAGATATCTGGCGCAGGACCGGCCTTTGTTTGATTTTCTGTTGTAGTTCAATAATTGATGGAAGTTAGTCAAATTTTGTAAACATCGCTAGCCATACATCAATGGGAAACGTGGAGGGCAGGGGCCGTTTCTCCGAGCCTGCTCAATTCGCCCTCATCCATCCGATCCCTGAAACTGTCCCTAGCAGCCTACGAGTCCGTAAAATGGTGCGGTTAACGTAGACGGGGACTGAAGGTATATAGAGCCAGCCCCACTTTGCTGAGGTCGGTGTAGTCACGTGAAGAGCTATGATGCTCGTACCATGGGAATTGGGTGCAAGCATGCCATGCTCCATCTTCCATCAAATACAGATGATTTTTGCCAGCAGAATGGGTAAGTAACATCGCTCTCTTTATGACTTGGTGTCTGACAGTTATCACAGAGTTGGAATTCTTCGTCACCTCACAAGCCAACCCGCCAGAAACCCTCTCGCATAGAGAGAGCCGCGAGCTGTGCAAAACCATCGAGTTGATATACGCGCGATTGATTATTGCAGAGGACATCATCAGCGCTCTAGAAGCAGGCCATTATTTGGAAGAGGCATTCGGCGGTCGCATTTGCAGCTTAAGGGATATAAAACGGCGCCTACGACCATATCAGCAACATGACCGACACGAGTCTCGGCCACAGCTGCACAAGTGCCCTGCTGCACGATGTCAGCACCAGTTTGAGACTGCCGATAACCTGCCACGGCATATCCGAAATACAGCTGATCTTAGCCACCGGTTTGACAAAGACATACTGGACGGGAGATACTGTTTTCAGTGTGGGAAAGAGTTCGCTTCAGCCAAATCTCTTTGGTTGCACGAGAAAAACGATCATTTAGACTCGAGCCGCTCCAGGATTGATGCTTTTAGGCAATTGCGCAGAGCTTGTGAGTTCCATTGCTCGTTCGAATAGCATCCACACTAACAGAGACAGTGTCTCACGTCGAACTACCGGTCACAGCACAACATCCAACTTGCTGCCCGTCATGGTAGAAAGCAAAATCAGCAGTGCGTATCTGAAGAACAGCGTTCTGACCCGCAACCAGTTGTTGAAGGGACCGCGGCGGACAAAGTTGACGAGCTTCCCTTTCATGTCGTAATGCAGCCATCGTCGACCGGCTCCGAAATGTCTGCCTTTGATTACAGTGTCAATTCCATTGCCGATCCCAGTTCAATTCACTCTTCATATATCGGCCCCAGCGGATCCATCTTCGACTACAGTGTTGATTCCATGGCTGATTTCAGTTCAATTCACTCCTCGTCTATTGGCCCCAGCAGACCCATCTTTGACCACAGTGTCAATTCCATTCAGGTGTTTTATGAGACATGGTCAGCGGTCGCTCCATAAACAGCTCCCCATCAGCTTATACCCCATGGATTTAAAAGCTAACTTTTAAAGGTCAACTTCTAAAAGTTAACTTTCCCACCCACCCTCCCCGGTGGGCGCTCCTCCCCTGTGGGCGCTTCTCCCCCTGTGGTAACTTCTCCCCTGTGGGCGTTTTTCCCCCTGTGGGCACTCCTACCCTGTGGGCGCTCCTCCCCTGTGGGCGCTCCTCCCCTGTGGGCGCTCCTCCCCTGTGGGCATGCACTTAGTTCTTTCGGATTAGAAGGAGTTGGGTCCCCGCTGGAGGACCTTGACTACCATCTAGACATTTCATGTACACCACAGCTACGAAATGGAACGGATGATAAAAAAACCGGGCGAGAATTATGATCAAAACACTCAAATACAAATATTATATGAATACAGCATGGAAATTGCGTAATGATCCACCGGGCCACGTGACACCTTCGGACGCAGAAGGTCCAAGAATAATATGGCTGTGATTTGACCATGGCGGTGATAAGACGCTCCTAACAGGCTTTGAGCCAGTGAATGAGAGTCTAGTGCCTTCAGAAGGGTGGTGATAGATAGACTGAAGGCAAAGGGCAGGGATAATGTAAAGAAGAGTTAAAGTTTTAATAATACCGAAAGGAAACCGCACAGCGCGAGCGGTCCCGACTTCGCTATCCCATCATTGCGTGGGACCGCCTCGATGATCGGTTGACTCAATTCCATCCTCGCCTGCACCAGCTCCTTAATGATTCTGGGTACCGCTCCCGCTATAAGAGTGTTGGGCTCGAGAAAGTGCGGAGGCATGGCAGAAAGATCCTCTCACTCGGAGTGTCCTGCACAGCACTGGCTACTATGGCCTTAG